TCCAGAGGTCCCTTTCAGCCTCAAATATTCTGTGTTTCTGTGAAAACATCAAATATGAAACTTATAGCTTAAAAATCTACTGTAACACATGCAAAATTAAGTGTTAGTCTTTAAGCTATTGAAAAGATTTAAGCAGTTAGAAGGCGTATTATATTGTTACTAATTTCTTGTTGTTATAATATTGAGGCCTGAACAAGGCTACTTGGTAAAATCTCTGGTTTATTATGTTCAACACTGCTGTCAGCTCAGTTCTAATATATTTGGTACTATTTTCTTAGTCGCTTCGCATTTTTGAACTTTTCAGTCTTCCGGCAGTAGCTAATCTGTGAGATGTCAAGAACAAGCATTTGCATGAGTCTTATTGCTATGTTGAGCGTAGTTTTTTCAAGTGTAGTGATGAAGTTCATTTTTCTTTCATGGAAACTTAAGCATCCCATCTTCCTTGATTTTATTTTTTTCTTTCCTTTGGACCAGTTTTGAATATAAATAGTATTAGACAGAGAACATTTCCAGGTGTTAAAACTGTGCCAGCTACCATTTTGAAATCTAGTCATCTTGAGCTGTAGCTGTTCTGAGGCACTGTGGCCATTTCTAGCAGAGGATTCCTAAATCATGTTTCTGAATAGACTCTTAATGAGAAACTGCAGTTTGAATATGTTTTTTCAGTGGCAGTGTTAAATTCAATAGTTAGTGATTTGCCGATTAAAATTGTTCAGGCTCTAATTTCTTGTTTCTCCTGTTTATGTAACTTTTTAGTTATTGCCCAAATAATTGCTTGTGATTGTTTCCCATGGGACTGAGTTCATCTGCAGCTGGAACTAGCCTGCTTCGTCATCTGTCTGTAAAAGGTAGTAGAGAGTGTGGAGTTAGAACTGCAGTTTGACTTGGGTATCTCTGAATGTGATAGTAAGACTTGATGCTGCAGTTCCTTCTGTTAGAAGATGGTATATCACTGATGTAGAAAGACATATAGAAAAATCATAGCAAGGGTGACAAATGGGGGTAAAAATAAATATCTTATTTCAGGTGGTTTTGGATGTTGGCTGTGGAACTGGAATACTCTCCATGTTTGCTGCCAAAGCAGGTGCGAAGAAAGTGATTGGAGTCGACCAATCTGAAATCGTCTATCAGGCCATGGACATCATTCGGTAGGAAAAGTTCCAAGAAAAGTATGGTAAATATGGCTGTAAAAAGTTAGTAAAATGCTGTTACTAGTTAATGGTCACCTATCACTCAGAATGTGTTCTGTTGAAGTCCTTCTTTATCCGAAGAATTAACACAGGTTTTGATGTGCAGCAAGGTTGTTTGCTCCTCTGATAGGGGTAATGAAAACAGGGCTGTAGGTAAGGTGGGATGTTCTCTGTCAGGGCAGGGTGGGGAACAGCAGGCAGAGCTGATTTCTGACCAGCAAGAACCCATCTGTATGGTCTCATGGGGTTATTCCAGCCAAGATGCAGGTCTTCACCTTTGCCTTTGCTGGATCTGTGAGGTTCCCATCAGCCCGTATCTACGGTCTGAGGTCCCTCTAAATAGCAGCCCTACCCTCTAACAGATCACCTAACTCAGCATTATCCACAGACTTGCTGAGGGTGCCTTCTGTCGCATTAGATCACTAATAAAGGTGTTAATTAGTATCAGAACTAGCATTGTACCCCAAGGGACACCTCTCATACCTGGCTACCTGTTAGACTTTGTAATCCTTCTCTCACCCCTTCAATCTCATAGTCTATACAATCTGATGGTTCACTTATCCACTCCACTTTTTGATAATTGACCTATAGAGGATATTATGGGAGACTGAGTATATGTAAAAATGAAGCAATGGCATCTGAAGAATTAAAAGTTTATTTCCTAGCCTGAGGTAGGAGAAATGAAGATGAAAATGTGTACTGTTGGTAGCTGAGGTGTGTAGTTTCTTCTGTTTTGGTTGTTTTTGTAGGAGCAACTGTGGAAAAGAAAGTCAGGGTAGATAGTGAGGAATTTTGGATTGTCAGTTTTTAGGCAACCTTAAATTGTACAGAAATAAGGATGTCTAGGCAGAATTTTTAGGTTAGATACTTCACACGTTGGAGATGGAACACTGCACATTTGGATGCTGTAAAATTATTCTGTTAAATAAATGCCTGTTTAAGAAAAGTACCATGTTAAGCATCAGGTGCAACTTCAACTAAAATGTTTTTATGGCACAAGAACCTGTTCTCTAAAGAGAACTTTTCCCAGGAGTCCTTTACGACTTCAGAACGATTACAAATGTGAAATGGTGTTTTATTTCTAGTGCACTTGATGATAAATTTAGGATTGTTCATATCTCTCAACAAGTGCACAAAAAGTCCTTTATGTGTTACTTATACTTAGAGGGGGACAGAAGTATCAGCCAATACGTATTGCCTTTGGTGAGAAGAATGGCAGGCCTTTAAGAAAAACAACAAATCAAAACTCTTAATGATGAATTTCTACGTGGAGTACACAGCGAACCATGGCTAAGGCTACACATTTATAGATACCTTCTGCTGTAAAAGGTTCAATTCACATTTAAGTCCTCAGTTCACATCAAAATGATTGATGTTTGTCTTGTTAAACCTACTTTTCCTAAAGGAATAAAGGTGACAAGGTTGTAATGGGGTAACAAATATTTATTGGAATACTACACAAGTCTGCTTAAAAATGACTACTGTGGTATGCTTCCACCGGTGATTAAAAGTATGTGCTCAAGAGCTTTTGTCCCTCCCAGAATTCAGGTTCCTTTCTAGCATGCTAATTACTAGAAAGAGTGCAACCCATGTGTGTAAGTACAGTGGAATAAGTGGCCTGAGTGGTATGATTTTTTTCCCGAGGTTACGCAGTAAACTTATGTTTCACTGAACGCTTGCCTTCTCTTTTTCTTACTGTGAATAGCTGCCCATAAAATTTCTAGTGCAGTGAGTGACTTGATTTTTATTGTTCATCGCTGTTATGCAAGAATAGAAAGTTTAAGTATGCTTCCTAAATAGCATCTTGGCAGTTTTTCCTACAAGGTGTAAACTACATTGGGTTTGTGTGGTTTTCTTTTTTCTATACCTTACAATTGAAAGCAAGTATGTAATGAATTGGTCTTTTTCCCGTCTTTTGTTTTAAATCATGTCCTTGTATGTGATCATTTAGGAAGGTATCCTTAGATCTCTTTTTGTCCTTCTAAAAATGTTGTTGTGGGTGATAGCTCTTTAGTGTTTTATTTCCCACTTTGAACTTCTGGTCTTACTTCTGTTCACAGCATTAAGTGTGATATTAGCGATGAACTGCTACTCTTCTAACAGAAGACTGTTGTGTGTAGAATATTTAATTGATCTTTCCAACAGCCCACATGTTCAAGTAGCCCTTTGACCCTTTCCTTTCGCTCCCTTCATTCTGATCTTTCTCCTATTGTCTTTTAGATTGAATTTTTAATGTGATTACTGGTCTGCATTGAAAGCCAGACAGAATGTAAGATATCAGGATAGGGAGGGAAGGGGCAGAGATAAGAACTGTGGTGGAAAGATAAATTTCTTTGCTGGGAATACATTTCTGCCCTGTGTAAGAATAGTAATAATGGTATGTGCAAGAAAGACTTAATATGGTTTTCCAAGAAGAAAAATACTACATTGCAAGCATTTATGTATTTACTAATTTCATTGTCATGCAGCTTTTGTTTCAAAAACTAGTCACATCACATCACATTCCTTCTTATAGAGGATGCTTGTACCATTACTTGCATATGAGGTACCACCTGATTACTGCAGTTACTAAACATTGCAGATGATTTTGGCCAAAATCACAGCAGGGAGGATGCCTTTTTTGTGGAATAAGAGTAATAATGATCCAGAGAGAATGTTTGTTCTCGGTGACTTTGCAGCTAGTTTTGTTAGATAAAAAAATAAAAAAAACCCAAGTTGTGCAAAACGGCTTCGTAAGGAAGTTACTTTCCATAGCTATCCTAGTGTGATGAGTAGGCTCTAATCACCGTAGTCTTACGGTACAAGGGTCAAAGAAGGAGAACTGAGAACAAGCAACTCCATGTAAAGAGGAGCGTCTTTTTAAATATTCTTCTTTATTTTCCCAGTTTCTGAAGCTGACACATTTGCATGCACAGCACGCTGGAGGTATACGGGCCTACTGTCTGCCATCTTTGCCTGGCACTTCATCTGCTGCAGTTTTTGGGTGTTCGGAAACACTCCCTCTGAAATATAAGTGAGAAGAGGAATATTACAGTTTAGTGCTTTCTTGATTAGTTAGAAAGCCCCACAGTTGTTTGTGGGAGGAGAAATGCAAAATATAGACATCAGTATATCCCTTTTGATGGCATAAATTGTAAATATAAACTAATTTGTTCATTTTGTGACTTGCAGATTAAATAAGCTTGAAAATGTCATTACATTAGTCAAAGGAAGAATCGAAGAAGTAGATCTGCCTTTGGAAAAAGTGGATGTAATTATATCTGAATGGATGGTAAGGCATATGAATATTCTTTTCAAGACATAGTTATTTTTAGGAAAAAAACATGTTGTTTTATTTTATTTGCAAAATTATTCTTTAAGCGATGCTATTTTTTAACCAGAAATTTATCATGCTTGCAACAGTTGTTTTGACAATGTGGGAGGTGGGATGATCTTTCTGATTATGTGGTACTCAGGTACAACTCTGATCCCTCTCGTTCACAGCCTTTCAGGTCCAGGCTCTCTAAGTACAGTTGAGGTGTTTCGGGTACAACAGTAAGTTTCTGCTGAGTAGTTAGTGTGCAAATCTACAGAAGTACTCTGTATTCCTGAATAATACCATTGTAGCTGCTCAGGTGAAAATAGTGAAGAAATATTGTTGTAGTCACCTAGCTAGATCGTTTTGGTGAGTAGTAGATAGACACTACCCTCTGTAGTCTGCAAAGACACGTAAAGACCATCCTGACTCTGCAGGGAAGGTGATGAGGAGGTGAGGAGCGTACACTCTGGGAAATCTGTGAGTACAGATGGAGCTTGAAAACAGCGTTATTATTCATTGCAGTTTTTTAGTATAAGAGTGAAATAATTGATTTTAAAAGTACATAATGAAGACAATGGCCAACAGGAAGTGCAGCATACAGTGTCTAAATGAGCCGTTGAATCCTGGAATCTATTGGATTTCAGCCTTGGCCTGTTAGGTTTCTTTCGTGTGCTGGCTGATGACTGTTACACAGTTGTGCTTGCTGCCTGCCATTCATCCTGATAAAGACGTCTGTGTGACAAGACCCAGTGCCAGGCTGAACTTCATAGCGACTGAATAAGTCTGTTCCCTATCAAAAATGTAGTAGGAAACACCCCTTGCGACTTTTTTTTGTGGACATATGATGTTCGGTCTCCTCGTATTGCAGACCTTCAAGAAGCTCTTCAAAATACAGGTTTTCTTCACACTAGTTCCCACTGTTTGGACTTAAAGAAAAATGCTTTTGTCCTTCAAATTTAAGATCAATAATGAAAACTTTAAATATAAGTTTTTGGTTTTGTGTTGTGTTTTTACAAACTGTGGCTGTTTTACTATACACAAGGGCGAGAGATCGCGCCTTCACTATGGATCCGTGCGTATCTAACTAGTTTCCAGGTAAAGGTGGAAATAAATTGTTTGTTTTAGTTTTTTCTGTGGGTTTCTTTTTATATTACATATTTCAGTGTGCTGGAAATCTGCAAAAGGTATTCCTCCGCTGCTGTCATGAACGTTATTTGAAGCATTAACTTGGTGTTGAGGTCACTAGTTTCAAGGAAGGTTTAAGCCATTGGCTTAAATTAGTGGTTTAAAAATAGTGCGTTATGGTTGGTGATTCCTGACAGCATAGTGACTTCACTAGAAATGTAATTATAGTTCTTTCGGGGAGACTGCTGATCAGTTCCCTAAGATGTGCACCAAGAATAATGTTCCCCAAATGCCGTTTCTCGTTCTGGAGCCCAAAACTGCGTTTTAAAAGGAACCTGGGCACTTAAGAGCTTAGGTCATGCTGTAAATCAGTGCCTCTAAGGTGACGTAAAGGATTTAAAAAAGCAGCTCTCGTAAGAAATGAAGTATTGAATGTTCCATGTTTCCCATTTGTGTGCTAATTTACCTTTTAATGTCATAATTATATAGCCATGTGCATTTCACTTAACTAGGTATTCTAAATATGTAGGAATGCTAGCATTTTTATAGGTTGCTGCAATACAGAGATAAAGAGGACAATGCTGTGGAAGTAAGATTGATAGCTGGACAGTGTCTGCACTGTTCCAGCACTGTCCAGAAAAGAACATTATGTTGCCTAGATGCAAATGAAGATTCCTCTTTGTCTAGCTTTCTAACGTGAATTTGCTTTTCCTTTTCCTGCCCTGCATGATAGTGACCAGTGTGAAATCTTTTGTTAGTATGTGAATGTAAGTGCTTGAAAATGTTGGAACTGCTAAGTGTGAGAGCAAAAAGGAATTCAATATATGTCAGTTCTTAGCTCTTTATTTAGGGAATCTGTATGGACTAGCAGGAAAATTCTGATGGGAGTAGTGTTTTTTCCTTGTAACAAAAATAGAAGAAGTTGCTGTTCTGTTTAGAAAACCAACTAGTAAACATCAAAGCATTTTGTGGAGCCATAGCTTTGTTGTGCTCGGTACAGAACAGTGCTTAAGACCAGTACGCTATAAGCTTTTTTAGAGCTACGTATGGAGCATCAGAAAATTAAAAGGATGGAGGTTAGGTAGAGGAAAAATACTTCATCCTCTAGGAACGTTTCTAGAACAGGCTGAGAAAGATGGTACCTGGAAAAATCTATTGTAAAAGGTACAGTGGTTGCATTATGAGCATCTCCAACGTAATGGCTTCTGATGATCATTGTGTGACGGACCTATGGCTTCCACAGGCTGCTTGCTATTCCTACTTCTCTTTCATTTTCAAATTTGTTCCCTTAAAATGTGGGAAGAAATACACAGTTGGTGTGTGTGTGTATATATAGCCAAATTATGTTTCAAATCTGTATTTGCCATCTTCCAAAATAATATTTTTCACTTTTACATTCATCTAGATACGGTTTTGCCATGTTCCAGGTTTAGAGGCCAAATGATGAGCAACTGTCTCTTCAGTGGTTTTATTTAAGCCTATGAAAGAAATTAGCAGTGATCTTCCTTTCAATGTAAAAACTAAACGTGTTTTGTGACAACTGAAGTATGCATGTTTGACATTGTTAAAATCAGACCATAAGCAGGGCATCCGTGTGATTGTGTTTGACTAAAACCAGTATGCAAACCGTTGGGAAGGACAGTGGAAGGTGCGATGGGCTGTCAGCTGTTCTGTTGTGTCCAAAAGGCAGATTGCTGAAGATTGGAAGCCTGTTGGACTACTGAATAGCCAGGTATTTAGACTTCTTCACTCTGAAGACAGCTATGGATTTCTCTTAGCAAAACAGGTGAAGTGTGACACCTGACACAGGACTTCTTGTGTGCTGTGGGTCAGGAGCACAAGGCAGAGCAGGTCCAGAGGAGGCCACAAAAACGACCTGAGGGCTGGGACACCTCCCCTGGGAGGACAGGCTGAGAGAGTTGGGGAGGTTCAGCCTGGAGCAGAGAAGGCTCCGGGCAGACCTTATGGCAGCCTGACAGGGCTTAAAGGGGCCTATAGGAAAGATGGGGACAGAGTTTTTAGCGGGGCCTGTTGCAATAGGACAAGGGGTTAACGGTTTTAACCTAAAAGAGGGTAGATTCAGACTAGATGCAAGGAAGACATTTTTTACAACAAGGGTAGTGAACCCCTGGCCCAGGTTGCCCAGAGAGGTGGTAGATGCCCCATCCCTGGAGACATCCCAGGCCAGGCTGGACGGGGCTCTGAGCACCCTGATGTAGTTGCAGATGTCCCTGCTCATGGCAGGGGGGTTGGGCTAGATGGCCTTTAAGGGTCCCTTCCAACCCAAACTATTCCGTAATTCCGTGGAGCAAAGAGCCACCTCACCCAATAAACCATGTTGCCTGAAGAAAAGACAAAAATGGACAAATAATAGTCCATTCTGCTAACCAAACTGATTCTGTAAGGAGGAGGTCTTCCGGTTCTTGCAGACAAGTTATGTGAATGTAAGAATGGGTGAATTTTATATAACGTCTCGCTGCTGACTTTGGTTTTCTAGAGGTTTCCCTGTCCAGGATGGTCTGATACTCTGTAGCAGGGCTGTAAGCTTCCGATGCATCATCCTGCTTGGTTGCCTGGAGCTCTGATGTATGAAACTTCTGAAAGCCTTAATTTGTGAAACTAGAAATAATTGTTAGTGGTTACAGGTACCAGCCCCTAACATTTTTTGTTTGTCTGCTTGTACCATGGGCCACCTACAAGCAAATCTCTTGTTCAAACTGGAGACTTACATGAATTTGGTTTCTAGGCAAAAGTACAAATAATTGAGTATTTGTGTACACTGCCTAGTGGCAATCTGACGCAGATGCATTTCTGTACACATCAGTGATGTGTTTGTACCTTGGTGTAAGGAATGAAAACCCTTCTCTGTTAGTGGCTTGCTCTGAAAATGGTTTGCAAATGCTCGAATTTCATCAGAAGTTTAGAATTTTGACATGAGCATGCTGCTGTTTGTACAGGCGGTGGGAAAGTACTTATGAGTTGTATACACTGTAGACTTGCTCCGAGTCAGGATCACATTTATGTCCTCTCCCCAGAGAGAGTGAATTTTAAGAAACAATGATGTTTTACTGTCATTAGAGTAATTTTTCCATGCAGTACATAAGTTTGAAAGGGGAGCTGCTATGCTAAGTGCTAAAGCTAGCTTTTGGTTAAATTGAAGGCTGAGCAGGAAAAGATTTGGTATTCACATTCAAAGGTGGCTGTGTTATGGCACACGTGGACTTTGGTACTGCAATTGTAAACTTCATAGCCTGCTTATTGAAAGGATGGGTGCAGAAAGAGACAAAATGTATATAATGTTTTTCTAGAATGTTCTTATCCAGCTGCGTCTGTGTACAGAATTTTTTTTTTTCCTCTCGGTATGCTTTTACTTCCTTTCTCTAGCGAAGAATATAAAGCTAGAGGTTGAGTGTGTGTTTTCACTTGGAAAATATCTGCATTTCTTGCTTGTAAGGGTTTTTACTGTGAAACAATTGTCTGAGATGGTTGTCTCGTACAGCGTTAGGGTGAAGTGCGTTCTCATCAATTGCTGTTTTATGCAGTGCTTTGTGATACTGAATATGCAACAGAGTTTTACCCAAGATAAAACTGGGAAAGAGATGAGCTCTCAAATTAAAATAAACCAAGGATAGAATCCAGTACTCTTGTCTCTTAATCGTATCGTTGCTCAGGTAGCTAATATCTTTGTTTTCTTCCTTTTGTTTTGCTTTTTGTGTCAGATAATTTTGATGCGGTATCGGGATGGGCTGTGGATGAGAGGTATCGAGGATGCAGGGACAAGGACTAGCAAGTTGAGTGTGTCTGAAACACTGGAAACAATCTTTTCTCTCCTTCCTCCTTTCCCCAGTTTCTGTGATGGATATACAATGATGGTGCTTTTTTAACACATAATAGTTTTCCTGTAGTCTTAATATTCTCTATTGTTTCTGTTAGTATTTGGAGGTGCATTTATACAAGTGTTCTAATTCTATAACACAGTAATTTATAATTTTATTGTAAGCATTGAGCTTTTGGTTTTTGTGTGTTTTAGTATGCTCTTTACACAGCATTATGAAGTAGTTGAATGCTTTAATTTCTTTACAGCAAAATGTTTTTTAGAAAGGAATTTTATTTCCTTGCATGAATTTTTTTTTTTTTTGCCAACACCTATAACGGGTATCACTTTCCTGCTCTTTAGATCTTCCCTTTGGATATTCCTACTCATCTCACGTTTGTTTAAGGACACAGTAAGGAGTGCATGATAGCGAAGTCAAGCTGTGGTTTTGAAAGGTGTGGGCTTGCTCTGTCAGTAATGAATTATTTCCTTTTTTTAAGATTAAATCATACATGAGAGATGAGCTTGAAGGCTGACTTAGCGTGAGGGACCTGGTGCTGCAGCAGAGCATGCAGAAGCGTTTACATGTAGCTGCTGCTTCTCATTTAAATGTGCCACAGGGTTTGGGGGGATTTTGTCAAGTAGAAAATAATTTTTCTCAAAATTGAGCAGGCCACGTGAATTTTGTGCATCTGTTAATGCAAGATTACATTTTATGCTATAAATCAGAATCCGTTGTCCGATCTGTTTTACATACCCTCTGTAACTTGTCTTACTCTGTAGTCCAACGGAAACCTCCTTGCTAGAAACTTCAGTGTAAGAAAATAACGCACTTCTTTATACTGATATGTTTTTTAAAAAAAGTCCACTCTCTGAGCCAGTGGTTTGATAGCTGCCTTTTATCTCATTAACTAATCAGTATTGGGCCTTATTGAATCTGGAGTACCGGGCCAGGTTCAGTTACGTTACAGAAAAAAATAAAATGGAGCTTTGATAGAAGGTGGGGAGGAAACCAATGCTTATTCACGTAGTTCAATATTTCTTGTCAAATCTATCCTGAGATGGTTTTTCTGCTGTCCTAAAAATTCAGCTCATTCTTGCTATTGTAAACATGCTAATACCCGTTTTTTTAAAAGAGTTCTCAATATCGATGGCTTTCACCAAGAAGTAGAAAATAAGTGAAGGGAAAACTAGGTTCCAGTAAGGTATATGATAGGAACGGATAAGGGAAATGTCCATGAAGAGGCATTTTTAATCTGAAGTAATTGGTGTTTTAAGCAAAGCATTTTACTTCAGTAATCTCCACGCAATCAGGTATATATTAAAATTCACTGTTGTTCTTGTGTCTGGATGCTTTTGAAGAGCTTAATCTTTTTCTTTCTCATTGAAGAATATCATGATGAATACTGAAGTGCTAATGTTAAAAGAACTTCCTATACTTGCGTTTTCATGTATTGGTAAAATATTTTTATGTATCTTTGAATGAAAATGAACATTAAAATTTAGAGTGCTGTAGTGTATTTGAATAATAGAGGAAAATTTAACAGTGCAGGACATTAGGCCATCAAAGTTTTGCAAGCCTTTTATAATTGTTACCGACAAAATATAGATATAAGGAATATGCAAGGAATGTAGCGATATTCCCATTCCTCTGGATTCAAATTTGTCAGCGGGTTCATGCGTTTTTGGTAGCTGACTTCTTGGGTGGACTTGATGTAGGAGAGACAAGTGCCTCTTGTATTTGTGTTCCTGTCCAAATCTGTTCATATGTGGGTTTGTTGTTAGCTGGAGAGCAACCGTTTTGTTTCGGTTTTGAAAATAGAAAAATGAGGAACTTCATGCTCATTTTGAGAAAGAAATGGCCAGCTTTTTAGTAGAAAATGCGTAATAAGACAGCATAAGGTTTAAGGTGTGCTGTGTATTGTTTGTCTTTAACAGAGATCCTGTCACCTTTTAGGTGTCTTAGCTTAGCCACTGGCAAGACTGCATTATTAATATTCAGCTCACAGATTTGTATCGTAGAGATCTCTTTGCAGTAATTAATTTTGAGGGTGCTAATACACACTTAAGGAAAAAAAAAAAAAAAACACAACAGACCCCTGGACATTATTGGGATGGAAGCAAGAGTGCCCCACAGCATCCCGGGGAAGAGACAGGTATAATTCTCTTTCCAGATGGCACCCCTACAGGTGAGGCAGCAGCCTGTGAAATTACATTCTAAATTACACTACAGATGAGCACAGCACACTGAGCAAAACGCTTTGGTATAAGTAATAAATGACTTGATTCAGTACCGTTGACGGTTTATGTAAC